GTGTGGAATTGAATTGTCTGTAGCACGAAGCTTTGGAGATTACCCATGCAAAATGAGAAAACTATCTAAATTTAAAATTGTCCTCAATACCATGGAAAGTAATTTTGCAGCATGCTTGCCCCCACCACCATATCAAAATCTGTAGAGATTGGCTCTATTAATTTAGGCTTAAATGCAGGAGCTGAGTCTTTGAAATTGTTACTAGTCAGGGGAGAAATAACTTTTCTCAACGTGATGTAGGCTGGTAGCTTTCTCCAGTGCATGTTTGAGGATGCCTTCCAGGTCAGAAGGATGGTTCAAATGTGGCAGACCTTTCAGACAGGCTTCCTGAGGACTCTTCAGTTACGTACTAGAAGCTTCAAGAGTTGGATGAACAGGGCAGGCAGAGGCAAAGGACAGCAACTGATGGGATTTCTCAGTAGCGGAGTTTCTTCTGTAGCTGGCCAGCCCATTGAAAACCTCCAGGGAGGAGCATGCGGCCTTTTCCTGCGTTCCAGGTAGCTGTTTGTGTTTCAGACAAGGGCTGATCTCATGAATGATGCGCTGCAGAGGAGAGTTGGGCCACCCCTTTCTTTTCTGGGATGCACCAGTCCTTGGTGTAGGGCTTGAGACCTGCTCTGCAGCAGGAGATGATGTCCAAGGAGCTGCAGCCACCTTGCTGGTGCTTCCCTGTGGGAAGGAAGAAGAGCTTTCCTACTGGGAGGGCTCCCTTTAAAAGAGTCAAGTAAGATGCCTTAAGGCTGCTGCTTCTCAGTGCTGATGATGTATCTCATTTTTAAAATCCAGTCCAAGCTAAGTGGCCCAGCCCTTTACCTCCTGGCATGAGAAGAATTGAGACACAAGTACCATCTTGCCTGAAGATTTTTTTTTCCCTCCACTGTTTAGCAACAGTCCCAGGTACAGTTGATAGATTTAGGTGCGTTTGTTTGTCTGATCTTTTCCTCCTTGCTACTAAAATTGCGTATAACCTGTGTATCAGAAGCTCTCCTGTCCTCCAGGACCTCCTGGGTCAGACACTGCTATTTGTCTTGGCCTGCAGTCCACTCATGAGCAGCATCAGGTACAAGGAGATCACAAAGCAGAAAAAGAAGGTGCAGATGCTGCAGCTGTGAGTTATGCCCCTGGTTGTGCCTGAGAAGCCTGTCTAGGAGGCTTAGGCCCTAGATGAGGCTGTGGGCCAAACTTTTAGGTTTGTTAGAACAGTCAGGGTCACATAGCAGGAAGGGCACATTTTTCTGGTGAGTGCAACCTTTCTGTTCCTTTTGCAGGCATTGCTTTGCTGTATTTGCACCTGTATGATGTGTATGGAGACCCAGCGTACCTTCAGGTAGCCCACGAGTATGTGAAGAAGAGCCTGAGCTGTCTGACAAGACGATCCATCACTTTCTTGTGTGGAGATGCCGGGCCCCTGGCAGTGGCGGCCGTCGTCTACCACAAACTGCAGAACCAGAAGCAGTCAGAAGAGTGCATCACTCGGTAAAGTGCTCGGTTATCACAGAATCCCAGAACGTCAGGGATT